GAACGTCTTGCCATTGGCGCCCATGGTGACAGACCGACGCCAGCCAGTTGAGGTATCCATCAGGCCGCTGGAATCATCAAGTCCTCTCACAGGTGTGGACTGGAGGTTGACGGCTGCAAGGTGGTGTTAGACGGGCCTGGGGGTTGGAGTTGCGCAGAGCTAGGACCTGGATACTTCTGAGCACGGCTGTCAAGAAGCAACTGAAACATTCGGAGCTGATGTTGTCTGTCTGCAGCTTTCTGTTTTTTCTTCCATCTCCATTTTCTTCAGCTCAAAATCACGTTTTGCTGCTTCGTCATCTCATAATCCAAACGTGCCTTCTCAAGTTCTATCTGCCTGCCTTCAATCATCTCATTAGACTTGGTAAAATTTTCCATCACATTATTAAGTGAAACCTCTAGACTACTATTCACCGCTTCCCCTGCCGCGGAACCGTCATCATCATCATCATCAGACTGCAGTTGGTCAGATGTTCCGGTAAAGCACCATATCCGAGGTTGATGCACAGTAAAGTTGCGCCTGTATGTGTAATCCATTCCAGATATCGAGAAGACACTTTGTTTCTTCTTCACTCCAAGCATTTCCACGGGATCGTTTGGATTTAGGAGGTATTTTCAGTGCTGACCCAAGCGCTTGCAAACAGATTGAATGTCTAAATGTGGTTGCGTGATATCTATAAAAAGATTTCCTGGAACTGATGCTTTGATGAATAGGTGTGTTCTGACGTTTGGTCGTTCTGACCAAAACCAACGCTTTATAATGTTAAAAACGCGTTTATATGCATCAAATTCCCCTGTATTCTTTATTCTGTATAGGCGACGTTTTGACAGGCCGAATCAAAGAAGTCACTCATGGAAGGCTATGCAAAATTGAGCCACATCATGCTGCATGCAAATTGGGCACACTCTCCATTCATTATCAGCTGGTACATCTGGTGACATAAAAAAACAAACTATTCTTGAAGTAAAAGGAAATTGGAACCTTGTCAGCTTCTATAATGGCAAGAAATTTGAAATCTTCTACCTGTAACTTTTAGAGAATAACCCACGAGGTACGATATATTTCCCATTGGATCGTTCATGTGTGTTTCAAATGTCGCCTAGTTACCAAACAAAACAAACTCGAACTTCGTCTTCAGAAGTAGAATAAGAGTAGTACTTGTATGATTTCTCTGAACAAACCCATAATATGGAATCTCTACTAATAGCAGTCCTTTGTACTTTTTTCTATTACACTAATTCCGACTATATCATAATGCACTTAGTAATCACGATTAAAGTCCAGCTCATCCTTGGTCAGGTAAAATGGGATGTTCACTCTCACAGCTAGTATTATTGAGAAGTTGCAGATCAGTGTGGCGGGTAGCCTAGTGGTTAAAGTGTTCGCTGATAACGCCGAAGACGGGTTCGATTCCCCACATGGGCACAAAGTGTGAAGCCCATTTCTAGTGTCGCCCGCCGAGATATTGCTGGAATGTTGCTAAAAGCGGCGTAAAACTCACTCACTCAATACGTGTTGTGTCATTATTTTGTGACTTTCCTTATATATGTACTCTTTCTTTGGATATATGATTTATTTGGGTAGATCGATGCTTATGCTGATGATCACTGGGTTGTCTGGTCCAGACTCGATTATTCACAGAGCGCCGTCATATAGTTGGAAAATTGAGTGCGGCGTAAAACAAAACTCACTCACTCGTTCTATCATTGTAACTACCATGCTTTATCATGAAACTTACGATTACCTTAGTGCTAAGATCATTCAATGAGCACAGTACAGCAAGGGTTGCTGGGGTCGGTTCTTGTAATTACAGTCATCTATACATTGATAACGGTACCTCACGCTGAGCGGGTAGAGGAAGCTTATCGATGTGTCCAACCTTGTCCTTTAACGACTTCAATTGTAATAACAATAATGTGTCAACTCCGTGTACTAACTTACGTAATCATCGTCAGTATACATAGGTAGTGTGAAACATACAGTGAGGCCAGACATCTGTCAATCACGGCCTCTTGGGAAATCTAACTTCGCTGTAGCAGTCATTAAATCAGGATACACAATCCATTTGTGATTTTCACTGCAGATAGACCCTGGTAGCTGGTAGATAGAGTTACACAACGCCTGTTCACAACTTGTAGTTCAAAGCAAGAACACTCTGATGCGAGGCATCAACACGGTGGCAACTAAAGGTGAACAAATCAAAAGTACAATAAAATATGTTCCCCAGTTTTTTAATCAACACACGCAAGTTTACAACAATATTGGTTTCTACGGAAGTCTTTTATAGGTATGGAAGTCCATCAGTACGGAAGCCTTTTAGGGCCATGCGTTTTCTATGTTTTTTTAGTGAAATTTCAAGATTGTAAGTTGAAATTTCAAGATGTCGATCTTAACATTTCAAGAAAATAAGCAGTAGGCTTCAATTCATTTCCTGTTCTTTAATGAGTTTGTGGGGCTTTGTTAAACATAGAACTGGAAGATGAACAACATCACGGGGATGTACCAAACCAGTGAAGATCTGGGTTAGAACTGTTCTTCGGCAAGACATACTTGTCGTATGAGGCGACTAACGGGATCGGGTATTTAGGCTATTCGAACCCCCTGAACCCCTCTTGGCTCCTACAATGAACGTGTATTATGAATTTCTTTGAGAGGCATATTTAGAAGTTGTAAAGAAGAAGTCAACTTCTTTATTGCAATGAATGTGACGTTTTGGTGTAGATACGGTGTTATTCATAGAACATAGTTTTCCTTCATGTATTATGAAGGTTACAATTTTAAAATGCTCAAGTATATATTTCAGCCTGTAGAAATGGCAGAGTACGTTAACAATGTGTTTACTTTCGTGTGTGTTGTTTATGTAACAATTGCCAGTCATATTTGAGGAGCAGTCAGAAACCAATGGAGCAACGTAGCTTGCCTGTTCCCTTCAACAATGACATCGTAACTTCTTTGAGAGGCTTTTAGAAGTTGAAGCAGTAAGGAAGGATAACAAGATATGGATGAACAACTTCTTTTTTACAGTGAGAGCGACGTTTCAGTGTAGGTTCTAACACCGTTATGAAGCAAACTAAAAAGACTGAAAAGGTTTGCAATGGAGACTTTGGTGGCCCATATCATACTTCCTCTAATAACATGTTTTATTACCCATACGGTCTAGGATACACAGATGATTATTTTTGTGATAATCGCACACTATTATGATCTTTTCAGTGATTCTCAACGTTGATTGGTCAGCTAAGCAGAGAAGAAATATGATTGGTTGACGGAACTACTTTTCATTACCCAAGTTCATTGACAACTTTTCAACGTTTCATTGATAGAACGTGCTGTACTCACACATTCCGAGATTTAAAAAAAGAAAACAAGATGGTTAAAGAATATGAATACTCTTTTTATTAGACATCATTATTTTGCAATGAAATTGCGTTATAAATAGTAGTCTGTTTAAAATAAATAAATAAATAACCTTAACAAAACCAAAACAATCGTTTGCATTGTTTGTAAACAAACATGGCCGCCATTAGACTTACCTCGATCAACATCAATGACATAGTTAAAGTTGACGGTGACCTAATAGGAAGACTGATAAGAATATTACAGCCCTTGAATTCCTACAACCTGCTTGTTGTTAAAACTGAATTTGGGGAAATAGAATTAGCAAGATACTGACTAAAGGCGTTACCTTAAGTGGGACAAGTGAGTCCCTAAAGCTCGGGACAGTGAACTTTAATTTCACTCGGGACATATTTCCCATAATCACTCGTACCTCGTGGGTTATTGTTTTTATTACCCATTCTGTAATTAAACCGAGAAACCAGTACTTATGAACTCAAAGCCACACCTTGTTATGCGTTTACAACGTAATCAGCTGATCCGTATTAAGGCGCAGAGGAAACCAAATGGCTCACGCCTACTGGAATCGCATACGAACCCCAATATAGTACTGTAGAAAACGGTACGAAAAACAACACAATTCATCAGTTTCCAACTTCGTTTCATGACGATTTTATTACCCACACCCCCTTGTAAAGATTAAGTTTATTCTTAACGAGTACAATCGCATATTTAATATTTAGTCGTAGATCGCAAATGTGTAGCCTGATCTATTCGTGACAGAAAGTTGGTGACTGTGGTTGGATACAAACAGCAAAAACCTGTCAATATATTTCAACGTTAACTGATACAACAGTGAAAGTCTGCAAGAGAACAATAAAACGCAGGAATGGTGAACTTTTTGCTAAGAAGACGGTTCACAATTATTGACGTTTGTCAACATTTTGACTTTGACCTAGTTTTGGATCGCGTCAGTGTCCTTGTCAGGAACGATAACTCTAACTTTAGTCCGATCTCCCAGTCGACAACAGGCAAAATACGCCTTTTCGGTGCAGGTGGTTGGTTGAAAGAAGAATCATTTGAAATAGTGAAGTTGAATACTCCACCGTAAATTGGACCAGAAAAAAGAGTATGAACAGCATGGATATCATGGGAAATTGAATTCATCTGGAACATGACTGATTGGGACTGATTCGACTGAGGCTTTGGTGCATTTTGTTGGCAAGGGAGAGACAGGCCTGTGTCACGTGGTGTGGAATCACAGTTGGACGACAGAAGTCTGTTTATGTTTTGGTGTTGTTCTTCATTCATTGTGGAATAACTGTTGGTGGATTGAACTTTTTTGTGCCCCGACACTTGCATGATCTGGTGAGCTGGACACCTTTGTCAGACAAAGTTTGAATCATGCGTTTCCTGGCGCTATGGTTTGTCAACCGTTTGTCATTAGAAAGCCCTGCTTTACTTGCCATTGTTTTTTTATCAGTAATCCCAGTTTATTTCTGCCAACCGGTTGACGTTTAAACCAAGTATTCCCGGTTCGTACCCCAAACTGGGTGTTTGTTGCCAAATAGAATGGATGATCGTCAGCACTTTATCACATTGACTGTATATAAGGAGTCCGACACAAATTGATTGCACCACATTTATTCAGTGGATAGGTCATATCAGATTACAGACAAGATCACAACAACATATTTGTGGGTACCTTTACAATTTTAGTGGGACATTCAACAGACAGTATTATTAACAGTGCTTAAGAGGGAAATTGTACGTCTATAATAACACGAGTAACGTGTCAAACGCCCATCTTTTTTATAATGCATATATTATTGAATGCAGATACACCCCATTGAGGAAATGAAATAAACACATCTCTGTGTGCTGTAGACATCTATACATACTTATTTCAAAGTTGAAATATAACCAGAACAAAAGGAAAAAACTTGGTGTAAAACCAACAAACGACATAAAGATGGGATGTAATCAACAACTGTATTCTTAAGTGAAGTGCTTTTACAAATTAATACAAATCACTACAAAGGTATTACGGTGGCAGGTAAAATCAAACGCTGTTTAATAAAAAGAAGCAGTGATTAGAGCAATATAGGTAATGATGGTAATATTCACCTCACTGCACTGATGGTGGAGTATTCTGAATATATGTATACCTGGAGAATGGTATAATCGTATTTGAATCGTATTCGCTAGATCAATGTCCTATCTCGGCCACCATTTTGTGGAGTGGAACCAAGGACAATTTTCTGGTAGCATGTTAGCAGCTGGAAGCAACTAATCTATCGATGATTGCCATCGAAAATCGACAATGCTCGAATACGCGGAAGGATTGGGCTACTTTGATAACATATCCCCGGCAATTTTTATTCTGGTATGGAAGTATGTGATATTTTTTTTAAATCATGAAATATATACTTAGTCAGTTTGCATTACAAAGAACATAGCTAACAGAATCGCGTTGCCTAATTTAACGTTTTTGATAAGGATAGGGCCATAAACGGTGAGAGATCCAAATACACACACACGTGCGTTTGTTTCAGTTGCTTTTTCTGTCATTTTTGAGTGTCTATTTTGGGACTAATTACAGCTGAAATCAAATGTTATTTTAATTGCCTATTTAGGAAGAGAAATCCCATTTGCTGTTCTTAAACCGTATTTAGACATGTACATTTGGAAATGAAAGGTGTACAACTGGCAATAATCACATTAGAATATGTTTCCAACAGTTCAACGATTGGTTCAGTAACGTTTATAAATGTTAGAATAAAACAGAAATAGAGTTCTCCGTCTTGTTTGATGTAGTTCTGATACCCACACACGGATGTGAAATCCTTCGAGAGGCGCACAAATCGCTATTCGGCTTGAATAACACGAGTGGGTCACGAATGGCCCAGTACATGTGTTTTCGTCGCAATACCCATCAAAGTCATAAGGAGCATATTTCACACATTTCTGTCCATCCATGTTTCCCAAGTGTTGTCAGGGTGGATATCAACGGGTCGTGCTCGTTCAAAGTATAACTGGCAGGTGTTGGTTGTGTTCTGGTAGCTGACTGACCTACAACTGATCCTGCCTTGGCAAATTTCGATGCAGTTTACCATAGAGGTGGCCGTCACTGAAGACAACATTTTGCGTGTACTCCAACCATAAGGCACCACCCGCTCAAAGTAATTCCCGGGGTAGCCATCTAAACAAAGAGCATAGTTTTAGAGCCTGTTTTATATCCAGATCAATGCGTGAAGAATCAAAGTGACAAGGAGCTGTTCACAAAGTCCAATAACTGTTCAACAGTCAACCTTCCTTTACTGTCGAGCGATATTCAAGTATGTCTAGCCACAGGTATGTACATTTCACAACTTTTGAAAACAATTGAGCATGCTCTTGTCAGCGGAGACGTGCTCCAATGTTAGTTGATGAGGGTTACATTTAGGCCCCCCAAAAGGCTGTCAAAAAGTGTAATATGGATTCAGATGTTAGTTTGACTTGACATGGAAGGTTATGCAAAATTCAGCCGCATCATGCCGCAGCCCGCAAATTAGGCATGAACATTCTGATGGAACTTGAATTGGAATGACCTTGTATTCTTTTGTTTTTCCACGTGAACAGTTTACTTGCTTTTAGATGTGTTTGCGACGGGTTGCATTGATAGGGCAGGGCGCGCTCACCTTTTCGCAAACACCTGATATCATTACTGTTTGAAAGTTATTAGAACACATTCTTATGATACAGCTTGAATCGCACAATTCTCTCAGCCTTTAGCAGACATGTCTTATGGTAATGAAAATGGTTTTGTAGCTGTGCAAATGTTCTTAATTAGAGAGAGAGACACACATCATTTATCCAAATTGTATACATGTGATTATTTACAAAGCACCGCCATATTACCGCAATATTGTTTAGTACAACAAATAATAACAAACGATAAATTATGAGGTCACCCACTTTGACTTTATAGGTGTAGCAATGACCATTTTATTATCGTCAGTAAAGAGAGAACTTCGGGTAATTATTTGCACAAAGATCTTCTTGGCCAGAAGCACATACAATATAATACGACAGTAGTAAATATTCTGTCAATGCTTCAAAAAATAGATAAATATTTTTGATGCACTTATGAGCACAGCAATAAAGATAACAACAAAAGGACACTGACTGTTAAACAACCGCTTGGTAGTTCGATCAAATACGCAAAATTTTGAATATTTTTCAAAATGATGAAAATATCTGCAAAACAAATCAGGACCCACACGTATCTAAGAGCTATTGGTTATACTTACCAAATTCCCAGTCAAATATTGCTTTCCAACCGGATCCAACTGCAAAATATTGGACCTCAAAGTCCCTCTGCTGTTCAGTAAACATGAAGGTTTGTTCTCCCACGTAAGCCCCTTCACCGACGCTAAGCAGTCTGCCAGTCCAGTTGACCCACATTGGCCTCATCTCGTTACAATTCAAGTACCGGTATCTTTGCGAGTATCGGGTTGAACAACTACTGCACGGCTCCATCAAACACTTATCATTTCCCCATCCACCAAGCAAAATGTAGGCGTTCTTGGCTGTGCTGAAGTCGTGGCCATCATACAGTCGTATGTGTCCATCGTTGCACCCCTTGACCCTGAAGAGAGTTGCTGACCTATTCTTGACGTCAACGCCGTAGTCGTGTGTATTGTACATCTTGTAGTCTCCGGTAGAAATGACGTTGATGTTTGTGCAGGAACCACAGACGATAAAATAGAAGCCTGTAATAAATGTAAAACACTAGAGTCTGGCTTATATTTAGTATGGATGCATTTTGAGACATATCACTTTTTGTGTATTCACAATACATGACATGCCCTGTAAACAAATTAACTCCATGCATTCTTAGGCAAAGCTGTCAATATCATCTGAAACAAGTTATCGTTTTCATCCCCGCCCAGATCATCAAGTGATCGACCCACTGATCGAACGCAATGCCATCGATTCAGCAATAAAGTCAACTCAAGTCATAATCTGGCCGTAATGAAAGAAGACATAACGACCGTATGGTATCAGAACAGGTAACTGGTCGTAGGGGTAGCATGAGACGATTTGTACAAATTATATACGAATAGCTAACTGGTCGAAATAATTGGAGAAGACAGTACGACCTTACTTTATTGAGGAAACAGTTAATTGGCCGTAATTGCGACCATACTTTGTTAACTGGTCGAGAGAATGAAAGGAGACATCACGTGCCTGTTTTTTCTCGGCACAGGACGAGAGGTGAGTTTAGTTTTACGCCGCACTCAGCAATATTCCAGCTAGATGGCGGCGGTCTGTAAAAAATCGAGTCTGGACCAGACAAACCAGTGATCAACAGCATGAGTATCGATCTGCGCAATCGGGAACCGATCACATGTGTCAACCAAGTCAGCGAGCCTGACCACCCGATCACGTTAGTCGCCTCTTACGACAAGCATAGTCGCCTTTTGTGGCAAGCATGGGTTGCTGAAGACCTAATCTACCCCGGATCTTCACTGATCGGACGAGAGATGACATAACAATATTGCTTTGTTTTCGGAACAGTTAACTGGTCGTCAGGAGGAGAAAAAACATCACGAGTGTACCTTGACCAATTGAAAGAAAACTTAAACATATGACGTCTTGTGGTATTGACAGGAATGGCATTGAATGGCTACAATCGTTGAATAGAAAATATATTGTTAGATCTGCTGTTATGTGGAGTTTACGGTTCAGCAAGGAGAAAAACAAGACCAATCATTTCAGAAAAACGATGTAACACGCAATGAACGCTGTTGGTATACCATTGCACAAAGCCCATATTGTTTTTAAATGATAGTAAGATTCGGTAGAATGATAACATGTATGTACTGTGTGTACTGATAATGATCAGTTAACAGCAGGACAACAAGAGCAGGGAAACAATTGAATAAAATAATGAAATAAAAACCAACGGAAAAATTTAACTTTCGAAATAAACTTGAAATAATGCGAAAATAAGTGAAATGATCAGAGAAACTCGAAATTTCCAAAAACAACTAATAGATACAAGAAGAAATTGTGATTCAGAAAATAGCTTTATGTAAGTGTTACGGTTAACAATTTTGCCGTGACAAAAGGTTTAAGAGTCCCCTATGCACAGAATAGTAAGTCTAAAATATTCAATAATATATTGAACAAACAATGAGCAAACTACAATGAATGACAATACATATTTCTAGGACAATACAATTGAGTCACAAATATAAAATATTGGGTCACAAATATAAAATATTAACTCACCAGTCTTGACATTTAGAGTGAGAACAGATATACTGAATGAAGGTTGTTTACAATGACAGCAGTTGAATAGACAAGCACTGTCCGTTTTGAAACGTTGATCAGCTTAATGATGGCAGACATATGTATATAAATCCAGTCATGTGAAATCCCATGTCGCACAACTCAACAACCAGCCTTCATATAGTTCTTACACAGTTCTCGAGCATTCTAGCAAAGCTAGGCTCTATCAGAACGTTATGGAAAACTCCACGGCATGACGAGAGCCGGAAATAAACAAGATTGCAAAGGGAGGCAACTCTGAAACGCTATCAAAAAGGTGTGTCGCTACAAATGCTATTGCCATTGAATATATATGTATGATGCAAGATGCGAGCCACAACCCACATTCAAAACTTTAAACATTGTGACCCATAATAACTATCACTTAATCAATGTGATATTACAAATTAGAAATTAAAAGAAAAACACTCTAATAACATAAGAAAGTAGCACCATAATATTACACTTGCGTAAAAAAGTTAAGGGACAAAAGCACATTTCAGCATGACATTAAATTATGCATAGCAAACATATAAAACAGAATTTCCAAGCATGAATATGAATATGCATTGTGTGCAAACATGTGATCTATGCAAACACAACAGTTGTGGCAATCCGTCGAAAATTGACCAATTTGATATGAAAGAAAGTGTCAACAAAATTGTTTGCATCGCACGAATACAACGTTGCCTGAACTTTGTTAGGTCGTTTTGTTATTGCACGTGCAGTCTGCGTTTTCTATGCAAATTTGAGAATAAAAGTCGCCACCGCGATCATGCTGTTCTCAAATGACTTTTCATCATGGTTCGACGTCATCTATGCAAAGTTGATAGGGCAAGAGCCATTGCGTGGCTCCAGGATGGTTTGACACAAAGACATGTAGCCCGGAGGATTGGTTGTAGCCAGCGTGATTGGTAGACTATGGAAGCGGTTCCAGGCAACCAATTCAATTAAAAATCGTCCCGCTCTGGGAGGCCAAGATCAACATCACAGCCTGATCACCAGTATGTCGTACAGTTGGCCTTACGTCAGCGCGCCGTCACAGCTAGACGTCAGAGAGATGATATGTGTACCACAGGACTCCTCTGTATGTTGTCCAGGGAAATTTGACTGGTATCAGATACAGGGACGAAATTGTGCGTCCGTTTGTTTGTTGTTCCTACTCTTCGCCAAATTGGAGCTTGTTCTCTTCTTCAGGATGATAATGCTAGGCCACATCGGGCCAGACATGTGAATGATTTTCTCAATCAAACTGGCATTGTGAGAATGGACTGACCTTCATACTCGCCTGATCCGGCACTGATTGAGTATGCTTGGGACGAGTTAAGAAGGAGGCTGAGGGACAATGATTATCAATCTGGTAATCTTCAAGAATTGGTCCAGTTTCTTCAGGCAGAGTGGCAGGCTATCCCACAGATGTGTATTCGCGGTCTGATTGACAGTATGTCTCAACGATATGCTGCATGTTTAGGAGCGCATCGTGGTGTCACCCGTTATTTCCGGAATTAAAGATTGTTCAAAGGATGCTTACAGTCATTGAGTTTGCATAGGGCATATGGTTTGCACACAGTGCTTAGCTTTAGGACAGCATACACCAATTCGAACCATATTCATGCTTGGAACTGTTTTATATGTTTGATTTGCATAATTAAATGTCATGCTGAAATCTACCCTTGACTCTTAACTTCTTTTGAGTAGTATATATTCAGTTTAAAAAATTACGTAAATTCATTTCTCTGATTATATTTCAACATTAATATAATCTATTCAAATGAGATATTCTGAGATGTTTGTGAAATTGGACAGAACTATTACGTATACTCTCAACAGTATCATTCACATGGGTACAGTGTGTGAAGCCCATTTCTGGTGTCCCCCGCCGTGATATTGATGGAACATTGCTAAAAGCGGTGTAAAACCATACTCACTCACTCACTCAACAATATCAAACTGAGAGAACATCTGTATTTCATACTAAAGGTAAAAGGCGTTAATTTCCATTTCCCCCCTTTCTATCAGTAACAATACGTTTCAGACAATGTATAGGCGATCAAGTGAAACAGCTTGCCTTTGAAATGAATTACACAAACTTGATTCCAAGTTCACAAAGAAATAAAGTACCGGGCAAAAGAAAGTTATAACCGACTTCACCTGGCCAAAACATCGAAACAAAGACGTGTGTGAGATTTATGATAAGTATTTTACAAACAGAAATCATTTTCCAATGAATTGACAGAAAATTTAGTTTAATGCTGGTCTTGCGCGTGTTGAAATTCATTAACAAAGAGACAAGGGGTCTAAATTAAAAATTACACAAATCAGAGGTTCATTCAAAAAGTGCATAAAGACTCACATAATGAGACAAGAGTCTGGGGACACACCATCAACAGCGAGGATGACCTCCCTGGACATCCATACACGCCAACACACGTCTCTCCATTGACATCGTAAGTCAAGAATCCTGTTTAAGTTCCTGTCGGTTCGTTGGAGGCAGTACATGCTGACGATCATGATGAACCTAGGGAAGTTCAATGGGGTTCATGTGTGGTGAACGCGCTGGCCAGGACAATACGTTGACGTTAACGTTGTGCAGGTATTCTCGAAAATTCTATCGGTGTGAGGCCTCGGGTTGTTGTGCTGCAAAATGACGCATCTCGGCTGTTGTCGAATAAAGGGAACGACAAAAGGTCTCAGCACTTCATCCCTATCCTGTGGTTCTTTGGCCATATATGCCGCCCCATACCATGATGCCTCCTCCATCGGACAGATTAACTTCTTGAACGCAGTTTGGCGCCAGTCGATCTCCTCTACGTCCGAAAACTTCGCCGTCATTTCTGAACAGACTAACAGACTTTCCTCTATAAAGAGCCCTCTCTGCCAGTCATGTCGCTACCACCGACGTACAGCTCATGCCCATTGCAGTCTGCGTTGACGTGTAGACGGGTCACGGCCATTCCACGGAAGGGGAAATAGACTCGTACACCAGCAATACCGAGTCGTCGAAGGACCGTTCCTCTGTTGATTACGTGTTCTAGTGGTGTTGCCGCCGTTGACCTTGCCTTCACGAATCTGTTCTGAAGATGGACGTGCTTGATGTTGCGGTCTTCGGCCGGTGTCGTGACTCTTGGTCTTTCTGATCTTGGGCGGTTTGGGGTCTGGTTTGTTTGCTGGTAGCGGTTTATCAATTTGGTGGTCTGGCTGAAGATGAAGGTTCTTGCCAAATCACGTTGTGAAGCCCTCGTTTTTGCCATACCGATCGCGCTTTCTCATTGCGCTTTCGTAAGTCTTGGCATATTCGTTGTAGTCTTTTTGTTACTCTGTCCAACATCAATATTGTGCCACAACCAGGCACGTGCATTTGAACAATATCCCACAACTATGTTTTTCATGTTTTTAAAAAATGCTCGATTCGTACGAAGTTTCCAGGCAGCTGTGTTGTTATCGGGACCATATTGCGTTTTGGCGATTACTTTAAAAGTGATAACTTTCTTTTTCCCGGTAGTTTATCTCCAAATTGACAACATATTTGAGCCTGAACTTTTCTTTGTCCCTACTCATGTCTTGCCTACTTCATGTAAGAACCTGACGCTACTCCAGCAACATTGAACAAGCTTGTAGTCAAAGATACTGTTCAAGTGCATTATGGAAATAAACATTGAACAAAACAAACATGTTCGAATTCTTTCATACGTAGACAATACTGTTTAGCAATAAAATACAATTTGCGTTTAATGTCGATGGAATGTATTGTGAGTTGCGGGGTTTTTTCAAATTCAGCCCTGAAATGAATCTTGTGATGATTTCAGGAGTCGACGAAGGTGTTTCAATTGAATTATCAGAATATTACAAGCTATTATGAAATATCCCCAACCTAGAGATTGTTTGAGGGTTATTGCCGTTTCACGCCCCATATAATCAAATGTGAATAAAAGTCCTACTTCAGATATCATTTGTACTCCATATCACAGATATGAATCGCTTCTACTATCTCGTGAATATTTGTGGAATATTCTGGAATTCCACCAGTTAATGTTACGCAGTTCCTTTGTATAACCCTGAAATGTTTGAAACTGGATTATTAAAAAGCACATGTAATCTGTGACAACTTGTAATTACCTGCAAAAATGGTCATAGAGAAGTCCATCTTTGTCCAGAAGCACTAGCGTAGCACTGGCGTAGATCCTGCCCTCCCAGTGTAAGAGTGCTATCCTGTACTGATAGCGATACACAAGCGCAGTCATGAAAACATGTTAAATATTGACGAGCAATTGCAATTGGTCTAACATGCCTCTCTTCATTAGTGTGATCTTTTGTGAGTACGATAGATAATGCATCGCCTACTGGGAAATATTCTATCAATATTCTGTCGTGTCAAAGACAAGACTTTATCATTCAGTGATACTAGTGTTGGGAATTGGTTAAAATCTCACAATTGATGATTTGTTCATTACCACCGATCACTCATCGAAAATAATTGGTTAGCGTCACTTATGAAATTTGTTAATGCACACAAAAATAAGGAAAAAAAACATGTAGTTATTTTGGGGTTTGGGGCAAAATTTCACATCTTTAAAGTATGACTAGTATGTTAGGAACATAAATCTCTTGGTGTCTTTAAGATAAATTCAATCATGACTTGGAACGCTTGTAGTGCTTATGAAATGTAACAGACAAATCCAACCTTGTAAAAAATATTGTTGATGAAAACAAGTGTTCCAGAATTGTTTGTGTTCGATTATGAGAAAACATGATCGATTGCTTGGTCGTTTAGTCACTGCGACCAATCTTCGATTATTTCAATTAATCGGATCACCACTAATACTCACAAAGTGAATCGATGTCATTAGGAGGAATGTTTTATTGTCCAAGCTACGATAAAACCGACGCCTTTATCTATAAAATGGATAGTCTCCTGGTTCCTGCGCAGAACTATCAAGCAGTACGTATATATGTGAGTGACTGAGTGCAATAAAATGAGCTTACACCGTCATGTATCGGTTATGCACCCGATATTCAATCTGTCATGCCAGCTGGCACTCTGTACTCACATTTCTTGGCAAAATTGATTTCCAACAATTGCGTAATAAGTTAAGGTTAGTTGGTGCGCCTCGAGGGATTTGTTGTTTATCTGGCAGTCGTTCTTACCTGGAGTTTCTGTCAACAGAAGGAACTCGTATTGGAAGAACTATACCGTCATAAATATATTATGCCCCTGGTTGGCAGGAACCGTACATGACAATTGTGTAAAGGTTTTGCATTTAAATAATCTATGTGAAAACGTCGCTGTTCCATATTCTTACAAAATAAGATAATTTTCGTCATGAGTGGGATCCTAAGTTGTTGTTGACGATCATGCTGTGCGACGGGAGAGATAGGGTAGTCTAGTGGTTAAAGTGTGTGTTCGTCACGCCAGTGGGCACAATGAGTGAAGCCCATTAGGGCTGGGACAGGTCAATATTTTCTACCCGGGTACCCTACCCCCTATTACCCTACCCTACCCGGATACCCGATATGTTTATTCTTGACATCAAATTTGTAAGAAATGGCAATATATTCTTCAGCTCGACGGCTAAATATCTTAATCATGAATTATTTTTATAACAACTGACTGCAAAATCTGTCTAAATCTTCAAAGACAATACACCTTTTGATCATAAAAGAATAACATATAACATTGTTTCATCTATTAGTCACATGATCATAACGGGTCCGGGTATTGATATAGGTACTTCTCATTACCCACCCGTCCCAGCCCTAAAGCCCGTTAATGGTGTCCAACGTTGAAAGACAGGCACAACCGCCCTCACTCATCCAACATTGTGGAACGTAGAAGTCTAACGTTTTCGAGTTGAATGAAGAACTTTACCAACAAACAAAACTGTCTGATAATATTCATCGCCTGAAAACGAGAGTGTTCTATGTCCACATTTGGTGAAATTTGAGTTATTCAGTTCAGGGTATGTTTTACTGCATATTCTCCATGCAAGATTTGACCGTGATATATAGCCTAGACAGTGGTTTTACATTGTTGTATCTCCATACAATAACACAAATTTTTAGTTCCAGAGTATTCTTAGTGATCACGTGACAGGCAGATGGAACAATCTGAAAGTTTTATTACCATCATAATAGACATGCACGTATATAAATTGAACATTTTCTTTATTTATGCTTTATTTAATGTAATTGGTGATCTATGCAATTAAAACCTGTTAAAACAATAAAAATACAACCTGTGACGGAAGAAATAATCATACAACAGTTGTACAAAAATGATTCAGTTGCATTTCTGATGCACAGATCGCTCTGGTTCTGAACAAAATTACGAATCTATTTGGCCGAAGGATCTATCTCCAAGCCTTTTTCGTTAATTTCTTATTTATTTCAAGACTTTTAACATACTTGTGGTTATTTTCCCAGTCTTTTGGATATAGCACAAGTATATGCACAATTCCACAGAATTTGAAAACATTGTTGTTCTAAACTTCAAGAATGATTTTATCGAAAATAATTTATTTGGACCAGGAACTCTCTGGTTTTCGGTGAGGTGCCTGAGCCGGAAGTAGTCACACTGTAATATTCCACCAGTGTGTCCATGATGTAAGACATGGGATAGTTGTAGCATTATCATATACTCTCCCAAAAAGAAAAGCAAAGGTGTGTTTTCACGAATTTAATCTGCTAACTACTATAAAGTGACATAACCGATCCCCCAACCCCCCTTCGGGTATTATGAATGATTTTCGGTGATCGATTTATATCACTGTCACAGCTAAATAGCCTTTTTCTAGGAGGAATATGTTTGGCCTGACATCGAGTGTTTTTAATCACTGACCTTAATGAATTTGCTGCTTATTTGAAACATTTACAAAATCTAAAGAACAGAATATGTGGAGGAGATAATGTGAGCAAAGATAAATGTCTGTTTCCATTTGTACCATGTGTTTCCGTGTTTGGGTTTTGGTTGGTCTTTTCGGTGAGCAATGTACTTGTGGATATGCAATACGAATCAACCAACCAAGACTACTTTTTTCGGAGAATAAGAAGACTCCTCAACACTGTAGCCTTCTGCATTCACCAGAGTACCAGAAAGGCTGTATTCCTGGCAACAAACCCAAGTAATAGTGACATTTCGTGAGCGAGTTCCGCACATTTGCCATCTTTTTTTTATGAATTTGTTAATCACATGTGTGTCCAAAGGGACAGAAAATTCAATGTAATAAATAATTTGAGCGAATTTATTAAAAAGGACAAGGACAGGCCTGTTGGTCTGAATACGCCAGAGACCGTGTAAGGTCTTATTCCAATGAATTATATACTTGTCATTTTCTGTGACACCCTCTACTCAGATTACACCATAAATGGACCGCAAGCATGGCGAAGAAGGAGAAAAGCACATGAATATTTTAGTGACGAACAGAAGAGCGAAGGACCTAAAGAATCGCCATGGTGTATTCTTCTTTAAATGGAAATGGTTTTGGATGTCAGTACGTTCCCATACGACCCGTGAAGGTCCGGGTTAGAATGAACCTTCAGTAACCCATGCTTGTCGTAAGAGGCGACTAACGGGATCGGGTGGTCAGGCTCGCTGTCTTGGTTGACACATATCATAGGTTCCCAGTTGCGCAGATCGATGCACATGCTGTTGATCACTAGATTGTCTGGCACAGACTCGTTTATTTACAGACTGCCGCCATTTGGCTGGAATATTGCTGAGCGCGGCGTAAAACTAAACTCACTCACTCACTCACCTTACCATACAAATACGTCTGAAGTGTGGCTGACCAGCAATTCATGAAAGACTTTAGTTGAACTGGTAATCACTCGACATGCATTGACGTAATCCATTCATGAGGTACAGAAACATCATTATTATCATTACCATTATGTTTTTACAGATTTAGATAAAAATGCAGCAGAGAGGGCTCGGGTTATCCTGGCACAGTCAGGCTGGTAAGGCTCATCGTCGGCTCAGGGCCCTTGCCCCCTCTACACGCAGCCCAAACAGCGTATGGGGCTTCTGCCAGGAAACGAACCCACCAATAACTTTCCGGAGTATGTAGACTCCCCAACACTGTAGCCTTCTGCATTACCCAGAGTGTCAGAAGGGCTGTGCTCCCGGTGGAGAACCCGGGCACTCTCCTGATCTGCGCCAAGAGATCAGGAGGTACTAAACCAAGGGCACCGAGAACAATGGGGAGTCTGACGGCAGTGTACTTGGGATGCAAGCGAGACATTTTAAAGGCGAGGTCCGCATATTTAGCATGCTTTTCCTGAATCTTGCCAATCACGTTGCTGTCAAAAGGGACGGAAATGTACTATTATTATGAAAAGTTTTGTTGCTTTCCTTTCCTTGTAAAACTGACACAAAAATGAAATCAATATCCCGATCACACAAGTTGAGTCAGAAGTGTATGTAAATATGCACCCGCAGGAAAACAAAAACAAAGGAGAATGATCCACATTGAGATGTTCTATAAATTATCCATACGAAGAGCTCGTTGATACAGCATGCTTTGTCTCTGACAAAACAATCGTGTCTCTAACTGAGGACGTTATCGAGTTTTAAACAACAGCTCACAAAAGGCGACACAGAATTAACGCCTCACAAGAGTACACAGGGCAGAAGAACACATACATTATGTTTGTGGTTCTAATGTTAACTACGTTTCACTCTGGGTGGTAATTCATCAGAAATGTTTCGTTTGGGGTCAAGGACGTACGAGGAATTTTCAAAAAGAATTCATTAATACTAACGTGTACTTAGTTCATGTCATCAAGGGACCAGAGCGTGGTTGAAGAATGCCCTTCACAAACATTGTGCACCAAATGTCCCGACGTAACTAGTCCCGATTTAGGACAGTTTTCAAAGTGGATCGTCATTTTCACATGTCACCATATCCTAGCTGCGTAGATCGATGCTCAAGCAGCCCCTATAACGTGTACTCATTGAGTGAGTGAGTGAGCAAGTGAGTTTGGCTTTACGCCGCTTTTAGTAGTAATCCAGCAATGTCACGGCGGAGAAAACCAGTAATGGGCTTCGCACATTGAACCCAGTACTCAATGAAGAAAGAAGTAAGTTTGATAGTGTCAAACGATTTGTGGTATATCAGGTTATAGAGAAGTCTAAGTAAACTTGGGCTCAGTATTATTCGTTACACTGCAAAACTGGGTCTGCAAAACCTAGTAGAAGATCGCATCA